CCTAACCCTAACCCTAACCCTAACCCATCGCCCATAGACTTCTAGCGACCTCCCCCCTTCTCTCGCCTCTGCTGCTCCCTCGACTCAAACTTCTCGAGTATCTGCCGAACGAGCGATGCAGGCATATTCCTTCCACCTACCGCGCGCCCCTACAACCCCTTGTTAAACTCGACCTCCTCGAACGGCACCTCGTGGAACCGCTCCTCCAACTTTTTCGGCGAGATGCTCGCGCGAGAGGGGAAAGCGGCGATGGCGGGCGGGAGGAAGACAAGGAGGGAGAGGCCGATCAAGCCTGCACGACGCGACAACATCAGCGAGACTGAGGAGAGCGAGCGGAAAAGGACGGACCGATGTGCGTGACGGTGTTGAGCCGGCGGCCGTTCGGGCGGTTGAAGACGCCGCGCTTCTCGAGGAGTGTCATGATGATGGGCGGGAGGATGAGGGTGGGGCTGCACGTGCGGAATGTGGTGAAGAAAGCGGAGCGGAAGCGGGAAGGAGCGAGCAAGTCAGCCGCCATTTTCGTGCAGCTCAAAGGAAGCGAGCGGCTCGGACGCACATGTTGGTCAAGACGCGACTCGCTGCAGTCTGTCCGACGGCGTACGCTCCGGCGATGCTCGACTTGCCCAGCTCCTCGCTCGAAGGCCGGCCAGTCTTCGGGTCGGAGGGCTTGAAGACCGAGATGCCTGCGTGGAGGATGAGCGACGTCAGCTCCGGAACTCGACGAAGGAATGACTCGGTTGACTGCGAGCGAGGGACAGTCCCCACAAGCGGGAAAGCCGGCGAGGTCGCCCAGCACCGGACGAAGGGGCAGGGCGACTTCGTCGCAAGCTTCTCCACCAGCCGCTTCGCGGACAGATCCGCTGCGCGGCGGACAAGCCCGCCTGCTTGACCAGCCGCATTGAGAGGAAGAACCGCCCAGACTCACCGTCACGCATCTCCTTCCATCGCATCAGGCCGATATTGACGCATCCGGCGCTTGCTACGGCGGCGAAGGGGACCAGTTTTGAGAGAAGGGCGCGGGCGGAGGGGGAGACCCGGAGGCGGGGGACGAGTTGCGAGAGGCCGACGGCGATGGAGCACGAGGCAACGGTTGCGGCGGCGTAAGCGGCTGTGTGAGGACGGGGACGTCAGCGGAGCAGAGAGGAGGATGTAGTTAGCTCAGTAACGAACAGGCAATCTCGCTTGTCGACATCTTGATCGACTTGTTCGCGTTCGAATAGTTTACGCAGACTGCAACGAGAAGCCGGTCAACTTCCGCTCTTCAGCCAACGCGTTCGTCAGACGCACCGTTGAGCGACTGATTGGCCCACTGCCAGAAGATGACCGACTTGAGAGACGGATTGGGCGCGAGCATGCCGGCGACGATGACGAGGTTGGTCGGGACGAAGGCGGAGAGGCGGAAGGGGAGGGGGACGGGCTCGCCGGTGTCTATGTGCAAACGCGCGTCAGTTGCGAGCGCTGAAAGAGGGACACGAGGCGGTCATACCGGGATGGATGGAAGAGTCGACGACTGTGAACCGACATCGAAGGAGAGAACGCAGGGAGTGCAGGTCAGCCAGACCAGCCTTCGGCGATGTCTCGGGTCCGCCTACTCACGCTGCTTGGCCTTCCACACGCCGTACTGATCCTCGTGTCCCCAAGCCTTCCGTCCCTCGCCCGTTCCCTCCTGGTACTCCTTCAACAGCCGCTGCGCATTCTTCAAGTCGGTGGGCGAGGCGAGGAGCGTGAGAGGGGACGTGATCGAGGCGAAATGGCGGACGCGGCCGACTGCAGCGAGACGAAAGAGTCAGGACGAAGAACGAAAGAACGAGGAGACGAGGACGCACAGTAGGTCTTTGTGTCGTAGCGCGGCTGGGCTGCAGGGAGACTCCAGGTCAGCGCAAACTCCTCAGCTGTTCAAATTGTCCTTTGCGCCCTTGCCGCCGTCGAAAGCCCATCCCGCCAACATTTCCGGCAAGACGGGCAGGCGCAACTCGACGCGCACGGCACCCGGTAGCTCGGCGCCTCCGCCAGATACTCAAACCATCATGAAGAGCATCACAGTCACCCGCCGCACCACCGGCACGCCTGCACAACGAGGACGACTCGACTCAACTGATGTCGAACGGAGGAGCGTCGGGTTGGCCCTGGGCGAGCTTGGAAGATGCGAGCGAGGTGGCCATGTGTCTATCGCAGTCTATCGACGCAGCCCAGCCAGTCTATTGAGCGAACGAAGCAGCGAGAGCGTGTCAAGCCGTGTTGCGAGAGCGAGAGGAACTCTTTGGCCAGCGACCGCGACGATGACCGCGCTCACGGCGACGATGAAGGGCCCGCGCTGCTCTGCGTGCTTGCTACAGCTCACACGGACACGGCCATACGCGACGCACGCCCCGAAAGGGCGACCCTCTCCCGCTCGACCACCCGCGAACGAGTCGACGACAACGGCGCCAAAGTCGGTCAAGTCGCCTCTGACAGAGATGCTCGACATCTTTGTGCCTCTCACACACGCACAGAAGGCGTCCATCGCCCACCATGGAACGCCGAAGCAGCCGAGACCGCCAAAAAAGCGACCTACCCCTCCTCCTCCCTCTCCTACCCTGTCTTCCTCCGCCGCCAAGACCACCTTTGCATCGGCCACTTCTCCCACTTCCCCTCACAAACCTGTGCAACCCCCTCCCGCGCACGCACCGAAGGACAATGCCGGTCGCAGCACGAGCAAAGACTTCCGCGCCGTCCTCGACTCTGTCCTGCCGGCCGAGAAGGCGCACCCAACGCCATCGCCGACCTCCCCGAAGGTCGAGAAGAAGGTCGAGGCAGAATCGCTGCCGGTAGCGGTTGCACGGGCGAAGGAAAAGACTGTCAAGGAACGTACCATCTTCGAGTCGTATCTCGGTGCGTCGCACTTCTTCTCTCTTTCGCACACGCCGTCACAGCTCATCGTACCCGCGCGCAAACAGTCATCCCCGCCGCAACCCGCCTCAAGATCTGGCTCGCAGTGGGCGCATTCGCCGCGCTCGGGCTGTACGTGGGCGACCGACTCGTGCCGGAAGAAGACGACGCGCCGCCTGAATGGGCAGGACGGAGGGCGCCGCCGCCAGTATCGAGGGATGCGGCGGGGCGGGACAGGGTCGTAGAAGTTGGGCGGTAGAGCAGACGAAGGGAAGCTCGCAACTCGCAACTCGCGACTTCGGCTCGCCCTTCTCGCGCGAGATGCTCGAGAGCGCTTGACAGGATAGATACGATACATTGCACCCTCCCTCGCCCGTACACGTGCGTCTCTTCCCTCGGACGCCTAGTTCCGCAACACGACGCCCCCGTGCTCCTCTGCGTCTTCGCCAAAGACCCGCTCGATCGTGCGCTCGACCAGCGTGCGCATATCATCGGCTCGGCGGGCGGAGACGTCGAGGACCTGCAAACGACGAGGCGCGGGCGAGGAAGTGGGAGAAACAAGCGAAGTCGGCGAGAAAAGCGAGAGAGAGAGTGGCGATGACGAGAGCGAGGAGAGCGATCCAGCAGAGATGGAAGAGACCATCAACGTCAGCGGAAGGAAAGCTAGTCGCCGAGGAAACACGAGTAGACAGGGAAAGACCGGACGCACCTCCTGATGATTCGCCACCTCCTCCTTCTCCAACACCTCTCCCACCGCGGTCCTGACCCGCTGCAATCCCTCGTTCGCTCCGAAAGCGGGATCGTTCTCGGCTTTCGCGACGGGCGCGGCGAGGCGGTAGGGCGTTGCGACGACCATGTTGGTGCAGAGGGAAAGGGTGAGGACGCCTGCGAGTGGGAAAGGTTGGGAAGAGGCGAGCAGGCCGGAGGACGGAAGTGGTCAGGTACTGAGCAGGGCGAGAAGACATGAGCGAGAGAGTCGAAAGTTGCCAACGCACGCATGCCCTGCGAGAAGAAGCGGTGTCAACTCAACGTTCAATATCACACAAAGCCTAACGTCGCAGACGAGCTGCTTGGTAGGGTTCAGATGGTCTGGAGTTGAGCTCACCGCATGACGCGCCGCGATGACTTCGGGGACAGTCCTGTCCACTCATTGATAACGTACACCATCAGCGTTCGCCCTCGGTGAAAGTGACGATGAACAGCTCGAGGTACGCACGACATGCCGACGACGTCCGCGCCCGCCGCCTTGAGGAAGCGCTGCTCCGCTCGAGTTTCGTAGGTCGGGCCTGCAATCGTCAGTCGAGTCAGTCAGCCCGCGATCGCACGGTCATACACGCTCACTGAGCGATCCTGAAGGCCGACTCACCCGCCACCCACGCATACACACCCTCGACCACCCCACCCGTCTCCTCAACCTTCGCCTCCTCCAACAAGCCCAACTCGTGCGCGGCGCGGAAGAGCGAGAGGCGGAGAGGGTAGTCGTAGGCGTCGGACATGGGCGGGAAGCGAGGGCCGAACTGGTCTTTGTTGGACCCGATGAGGGGGTTCATGCTCGTCTGTGAAGGTCAAGCGACAAGAATGATCAGGGACTTGCACGCGCAAGAGATGCTGAGTAGCTGAAGAACGGCCGTGCCGACTCACAAGCGAAGGGAGGGAGATATGGTCGACCAGCGCCACGATCGACCCGACTTTCAGCAAGCTCGAGTTCAAACCGCCAGCGGCATTGGTAAGGATCGCAATCGAGGCCCCGAGGAGGCGCATAATGCGGATAGGGTACTATGCGGTGCGAGGGTAAGCGTTACAAAGCGAGGGAAGGGCGGGTGGACGCACGACGACGTCTTCGAGCTTGTGGCCTTCGTAGGCGTGGAGCCTGCAGGAGGGGGAAGTTCTGTCAATCCTCGCCCACTAAGCAGCATCCACGGGCACACGTGCGACAGCCGCATTGTCGGAGAACCGGGTGCGAGACTGACCTGCCCAGCTGGCACACGACCGGCGTGCGATTCTTGCCGAGGAAACCAAAGGCGAGCGCGGACTGGTGACCGCGGACTGGGGGGCGCCAGAGTGTCAGCTCGCCTTCAGCCCAGTGCACGCAGCTTCAACGCACCGGTGCTCTCGCCGAAGCCGTCAATGTCGGAGTACGAGACGAGGACCCTGTCCTTCAAGACCTCTGCGAGTCCCTGCAACCCGCTGCCGCACACGATGGCGACCTTGGGCGTCCTCAGCTCCTTCGGCAGGCGTTCGCGGATCGCCACGAGTGCGCTGTAGTACGATCCAGGGAGACGAGCGAGGTCGATTGGGTGCGACGAGTGCAGGGGAGACGGGAGAGGGTCTGCGAGGCGTGGCAGGGCGGACAGGTCGGGCACGAGGGCGTCTTGCGAGAGGTCGCTGGGCATGCTGGGCGAGTGTAGCGTGCGTGCGAGTCGAGTGAAGCGATGACAAGTGGGGGAGCGAGCGGGACGAGGAACAAGAGGGTGGGAAGGGATGGGACGAGGACGGGAGCAGTCGCACAGGTCTGTAGAATAGTCTGAGCACTGGAGTACGCCCTCTGAGCGAAGTAAGCGGGAGCAGCGGTTCGATGAGGAGCCAACCCGCGGAGTCGCCTGGTCGTCCTTATCACCCTCGCCGTCCTCGCTCGTTCTTGCTCGACAGAGGGTCTGCTGCTGCTCTAACGACTCGGGAGACCCACTCAAGCCACCCGCCGGCCTTGCGCGCGCTTGTCGCCGCTCTCTCGTCCTCCTGACGCGCGTTCATCAGTACAAGTCGCACGAGACGGACCTCGCCGCTCAAACGGAGTAGAATCGGGTGCACAGGCGTGGAAAAAGGACATCTGCAAGGTACGCTCCTTTCCACCTCGTCTGGCGGGCTTGGAGGAGGTGCGACGGGACGGGCGAACTCGACTGGCTCCCTCGCGGTGTAAAACGGGCTGGTGAAGCGCACGGGAGACCTGCGACTGCTGAGGGACTTGGCGGAAAATCACAATGCGAACTAAAGGGAGTGGACTGACACGGCGCGCTCACCTACAGCATGGCCGACCCACCCGACTCTGCCGGCCCTTCGACGCCTCCCAACACCGACCAGCGCCCCGCCGGCGGTCTCACCTCGATTCTCAAGCAAACCTCCTACGACCCCTCCTCCCCCGCCGGCCCGCAATTCTTCCCCTCGGAAACCGTCCCCGCTTCCTCCGACCAGCCCTCGCAGCAGGACGAAGACCCCGAAGCCGCAGGCCAGGAAGACGACTATGATGACCCGGACGGCGCGTTGTGGAGCGGACCTGCGGCGGCGAGTGTGCCGACGAGTGTGAGCGGGTTTCGAATGCGTGCGAGGAGCAGGGGCGACTTGGAGCGCATGGGTCGCGGTTTGGCGAGGAGCGAGGCGGAGAGCGAGGACGACGACGATGCGAAGAGTCGCAGGAGCAGAAAGAGTCGAAGGAGGAGGAGCTCGTCGAGGCGAAGCAGGAGCAGGCGAGGGAGCGACGCAACCTCTGCGTCCGAGGCGGTCACGACAGACGCCGAATCCGTACATTCCCGCTACTCGACCTCGCGCAACCGTCGGCGGCGCACTCGGCGACGCAGCGACGCTTCTGCAGCCACTTCAGCGGTGGAGTCGGAATCCGAGGACGAGCGCGTCGGCTTCTTCGAGGGCCTCTCGAACGTCTTTCGCGGCAGGCGCGCCTCCTCACACCGCCCGGACGTCTCGCCTGCTCGATCGCGTGCCGGCAGCGTCAGATCCAGGCAGACGTCGCGACGACGGGGCGAGGAGACGGACGAGGACGCCGTCTCGGTCCGCTCCGAGTCCGACTTTGCCGGCGACGACGAAGACCCTTACGGCCCGTACGGCTCGTCGTCCGAGTCGGCATCCACCTCATCGACCACGTCGACCTCTTCGTCGCAGGACAACGATGGCCCTCGACGGCGGCGCACGACAACGGGCGCAGGTGGAGCCGGCCTGCTCGGTCTACCCGGCGGTGGCGGGAACGACTTTTTCGGGGAGAGCCGAATCGACTTTGAGGAGGTCGAGGACGACGAGATGTCGTCTCTGAGCGAAGAGACGGACGACGGCGGACACGGCAAGGGCCCTTCGAAGCCGCATCACCAGCTCATCTACATCCCCGACGAAGATCTCCCCCTCCGCTTCGTCGGCCTGCATATCTCGTCCGTTAAGCTCGGGCTGTGGTACGCAGGCTGCGTCCTTTCGCTCGGGATCGTCTGGCTCGTCGGAAGGTGGATGCCCGAGTGGTGGCGCCGCGCGAACGGCAAGATGGGCGAGTTTGCGGCGAGTCAGTTTGTCGTCGTCGAGACGTACCATCACCCGACGCAGATCCTCCCTCTCCAGACGCTCCGCCTTCCCGCACCGACTCCGCTCTCCACCATCTTTCCGCCTTCCGTCACGCTCCCTCCCGCGCATCGCGACGACGTCTCCCACCCGTCGTCTCCATCATTGAACGGCATCTCGAACGGTAACGGTGCCACGGCACGCAAGAAGGCCCAGCTCGCCGCAGCCGGACACATGATCGATGAGATCCAGTTTGTCGACTACCGCTACTACCGCTTCATCCTGCATCCTGGCGACGGCATGTTCCGCATGGTCAGGTGCGTGACACGTGCGAAGTTCGCGTGCCGAGCTGTTGCTGACCCAGCTCAACTCGCAGGGAATGGAAAGACCCGACTTGGACCTCCCTTCCCCAACTTCGCCGCGGCCTCTCCACCGCCTCCTCGCAGCTCGCACTCCGCACGAGCCTCTTCGACTCGAACGCAATCGAGATCGAGGCGAAGAGTATCGGCACGCTCTTGATGGACGAGGTGTTGCACCCTTTCTACATCTTCCAGATCGTTTCCATCTTTCTCTGGGCTATCGACGATTACTTCTGTTAGTGCTGGCTCTTTCGTGTCTCGGGCGATCGTCCTCAGTAAGCGTCTTGCTGATCCTTAACCGCCTCCGACTCGCAGACTACGCCTTCGCCATCGGTGTCATCTCGGTCGTCTCCATCGTCTCCACCCTCCTCGAGACTCGCGCGGTGCGTCCAAGCCTTTTCGTTGACCAATCGCTCTGTTGACCTGGGATTCGGTGCCCGCAGAACGTCCAGCGCATGCAGGAAATGTCCCGCTTCTCGTGCCCGGTCCGCGTTCTTCGCGACTCGGAGTGTGAGCAAGTCTCCTCCTATTGAGCTTGCACCGTAGCTGACGTCGCACATCGCACAGGGATGATGGCCGACTCCTCAACGCTCGTTCCCGGCGACCTCGTCGACCTTTCCGAACCCTCGCTCCACACCTTCCCCGCCGACCTCATCCTCCTCTCCGGCGATGCCATCGTCAACGAGTCGATGCTCACAGGAGAATCCGTCCCCGTCTCAAAGATCCCGATCGAGCCCGAGTTCGTCCCGCTCGTCTCGTCGCCCGGCCCGGAGATCGCGCCCGAACTCGCTCGCTACGTCGTGTTCAACGGTACCAAGATCATCCGCATCCGCAAGACGGCGCCGAGCGTTTCCCAGGGTGGCAAGCCGGGAGCCGACCTGGAGGCGGTCGCTATGGTCGTCCGAACCGGGTTTAACACGACCAAGGGCGCCCTTGTCCGCTCGATGTTGTTCCCGAAGCCCTTTGGGTGCGTTGAGATGTACTCGCTGCATCGACTTGCGGTTGTTGACCGGCCTGTCCCACAGCTTCGCCTTCTACCGCGACTCGTTTCGGTTCATCGGCGTCCTTGCTGGCGTCGCTGTCATCGGCTTCCTCGCGAGTGCCGTCAACTTTATCAAGCTTGGCGTGCGTTCAGTCCTTGCCCTCCAGCACCTGCTGCGAGCTAACGAGTCGTGCCCCGCAGATCGCCTGGTCGGTCATCATCATTCGCGCCGGCGACCTCATCACGATTGTCGTACCGCCTGCGCTTCCCGCGACAATGGCCATCGGCACGAGCTTTGCGATCCAACGCCTCCGCAAGATGGGCATCTTCTGCATCTCGCCGACGCGCGTCAACATCGGCGGCAAGGTCAACATCGTCTGCTTCGACAAGACCGGCACGCTCACCGAGGAAGGCCTCGATGTTCTGGGCGTACGCAGCGTCGTCCGCTCGACCAATGTCTTCACCGAGCTCCACCGCGATCCGGACGACGTGCCCATCTTTGGGGCGGCAGACGCCAAAACGCCACTCCTTCACGCTCTCACCACCTGTCACGCCCTCAAGGTCGTCAACGGCGAGGTCATCGGCGATCCGCTCGACCTGCGCATGTTCGAGTTCACCGGCTGGACGCTCGAGGAGGGCAAGGAGGGCGTTGGCAAGAAGCCCGCCGACTCGGCTTCGACACGACGCAAGAAGGCGACCGACACCGGCTCAAGCTCGAAAGTGCCGGAGCGGGCGCAGACACTCGTGCAGACCGTCGTTCGTCCGCCCGGAGGCGAGTCGTTCAAGCTCGAGGACGCGCTCAAGGCCGGCAGCAAGCATGCGCACTTCCTCGAGCTCGGCGTCTTGCGCACCTTTGACTTTGTCTCGAGCCTGCGTCGGATGAGCGTCCTCGTCAAGAAGCTCAAGAGCAACTCGGTCGAGGCGTACGTCAAGGGTGCGCCGGAGGTCATGATCGACATTTGCGACAAGTCGACCCGTGCGTCCGAGTCCCTCCGTCTTCGGAAAGATGCTGACTTCCTCTCGCGCAGTCCCCGAGGACTACGAAGAGGTCCTGGCTGACTACACCCGCCACGGCTACCGCGTCATCGCGCTCGCCGGCAAGAGCATGCCCGGCTTGACCTGGATCAAGGCGCAGCGTCTCAAGCGGTGCGTGCGAGCGCCTGTCTTCGCTTGGCACAGCCCACTGACCCTCATCTGACTTACAGCGAGGCAGTCGAGTCGGACCTGCGCTTCCTCGGACTGGTCATCTTCGAGAACAAGCTCAAGCCCGGCACGACGCCCGCAATCGCCACCTTCCGCCAGGCGCACATCCCGACGCGCATGGTCACCGGCGACAACGTCCGCACGGCTATCAGCGTCGGCCGCGAGTGCGGCATGATCCAGCCTCTCGCGCGGGTCTACCTCCCGACTTTTGTCAAGGGCAGTTCTACGACGCCACGCTCGCAAATCGAGTGGAACGATGTCGAGGACGAGACGAAGACGCTCGACCCGTACTCGCTCAAGGTGGTCGTCGAGCGGGACGATTCGAGCGTCTTCAGCGGCTACTCGAGCGAGAGGCGCGAGTACCACCTCGCGGTCACGGGCGACGTGTTCCGCTGGATGATGGATTTTGGCGCCCTCGAGACGCTGCAGCGGGTGCGTGTGGAGCGCTCGTACCGCTTGAGCGCTGGCTGACACGACTCCCACGCAGATGCTGGTCAAGGGCGCCATCTTTGCCCGCATGTCGCCGGACGAGAAGCACGAGCTCGTCGAGCGCTTGCAGTCCCTCGGCTACACAGTCGGCTTCTGCGGCGACGGCGCGAACGACTGCGGCGCCTTGAAGGCTGCCGACGTCGGTCTCTCGCTGTCCGAGGCAGAGGCGAGCGTCGCAGCGCCCTTCACATCCCGCCAGCCCGACATTCGGTGCTTCCTTGAGGTCATCAAGGAGGGACGCGCGAGTCTCGTCACGAGCTTTAGCTGTTTCAAGTTCATGTGCGTCGACTTCGTCCTCCTGCTCTCGCGAGTCCAGCTCACCCTCCGTTCTCTCGCAGGGCCCTCTACTCGCTTATCCAGTTCACGACCGTCTCGTTGTTGTATTCCATCGCATCGACTCTTGGCGACTTCCAGGTGCGCGGTTCGCTCGGCTCGTCTGGGTCCCCGTCGCTGACATCCCTCGCCCGCAGTTCCTCTACATCGACCTCTTCCTTATCTTGCCTATCGCGGTCACCAGTGCGTTTGCTCTCGCGCTTGACGCCCTAATCTAGCTGATCTTGCCTCCCTGCCGCAGTGGGCCGCACCGAGCCTTTCCCTCGCATCCACCCGAAACGCCCGACCGCCAACCTGATCTCGAAAAAGGTCCTCACGTCGCTCGTCGGCCAGATCGTCCTCACCTCCGGCTTCCAGCTCTTCACTTTCTTGTGGATCCGCTCGCGAGACTGGTGCGTGGCGGGAGTCCGGCATGTTCCGCTTCTCCCGTGCTGACGGCTCCCCCGCAGGTACTCGCCGCCGATCATCGACCCGGACCAGCTCGACATCGTCTCGTACGAGAACACGTCGCTCTTCCTCCTCTCGTCCTTCCAGTACATCCTCGTTGCGGCCGTCTTCTGCGTCGGTCCGCCGTACCGCAAGCCGATTTACTCGAACCGGTGGCTCGTCGCCGCCCTGCTCGCCCTCTCAACCTTCTCTCTTTACACCCTCTTCATGCCGACCTCGTCGCCTGTTTTCGCGCTCCTCCAGTTCATTGCGCTCCCGCACGAATTCCACCTCGAGCTGCTGCTCATCATCCTCGCCAACGTCGCGCTCAGCTGGGCGCTCGAGGACTTTGCGGCGATGCGGATTGCGAGGTGGATTGGCGACATGCAGCGGCGATGGAGGAGGATGAGGGGTCGGAGAAAGGAGAGCGGGAAGGCGTACAAGGCCATCTCCCGGTGCGCTCTTGCGTCCCTCTTCCTTTTGCTGACTCGGATGACTGACTCGTGCTCTTATACTCTGCAGAGCGATGGACGACTGAGCGCGACATCTCTTCCTCGCCGGATCCCACCCGTAGACTTTGCCTCTTTCGCTGTCTATCGCCTCGGCTGTATTCGCACTTGTCTTGGCCACATTACCGCGTGCTGCACGAGCTGTAGGAAGCCTCGGGACGCCCGTGCTCGCTGTGCGATTGCCATTCCTTCGATTCGCCGCGATGCCTTCGCTTCTCTCGTCCCGTTTCTTCACTCGACTCTCGCTGGGAACGATGGCCGCACGCTCTGCTGCTACGAACATCGCCAAACAAGGCTCCCGCACCCTCGCAACCGCTGCCAATGCCGCCAAACCGTGCGTCACGCTCTCATCTCCCTCGGCTCGCTCGGAGGATCGCTCACACTCTCGCACGCTCGATGCAGGCCAACCGGTGAGCTCATCGTGCTTCCAAAGGGCTGTATGAATGCTTGTTGACCGGGATCGCCCTTTGTTCGCCGTCTCTCCCGCCCACTCGACCCTCATCGCCGCCCTCCGCGTTCGTCCTGATCGCCTCGCCTGCACGCCCTCCTGGCCCTCTCGAATGGCTCGGACGAGCAGCTGTCGTGATGATGAACATGGGCGGACCCAGCACGGTGTGTCTCTGGCGCATTGCTGACTGGAGGCTTTCGGCGAATTGCGGTCGAGGTAGTTCTCCGTCCTGACGGCCACGCTTGGCAGGTCCCTGAGACTGGCGACTTTCTCTCGCGACTCTTCCACGATGGCGGTGCGTTCGACGCTGGCCAGAAGAGCTCAGTCGTGTACTCATGTCCCGCCGCGCAGACTTGATCCCCCTTCCCTTTCAATCAACCATCGCGCCGCTCATCGCCAAGCGACGAACACCCAAGATTGAGAAGCAGTACGAGGCGATTGGCGGCGGCTCACCCATTCTTCGCTGGACGCGGGTGCAGGGCGAAGGGATGGCCAGACTCCTCGATGAGCTCTCGCCCGAGACGGCGCCTCACAAGGCCTACGTCGCTTTCCGCTATGCCAACCCGTTGACCGAGACGTGTCTCGAGGAGATGAAGCGCGACGGCGTCAAGCGAGCGATCGCGTTCACCCAGTACCCGCAGTACAGCTGCTCGACCACCGGCAGCAGTCTGAACGAGATGTGGAAGCAGAGCGTCGACTTGGGCAAGGGCAAGGGACAGGAGGGACAAGACGAGATCCAGTGGAGCGTCATCGACCGGTGGGGCGTGCACGAAGGCTTTGTCGACGTGCGTTTGCGTCCCTCCTTCGTCCCCGCTCTCGTCACTCACACCTTGTCTGGCAGGCCGTCGCGCGCAACATCGAAGCCTCGCTGCAAACGTACCCTCCCGAAGTCCGCGACTCGGTCGTCCTCCTCTTTTCCGCCCACTCGCTCCCGATGTCGGTCGTTAACCGCGGCGACCCCTACCCATCCGAAGTCGGCGCCTCCGTCTCGGCCATCATGGCGCGCCTGGGCAACCGCAACCCATACCGGCTCGTGTGGCAGAGCCAAGTCGGCCCGTCAGCGTGGCTGGGTCCGCAGACGAGCGACGCAATCAAGGGTTTGGCGAAGAAGGGCCACAACGACATGCTCCTCGTCCCCGTCGCGTTCACGTCCGATCACATCGAGACGCTCTTCGAGTTGGACCTCGAGTACCTGGAAGAGGCGAAGGAAGTGTGTCCGCTTCCGCTTCCGCTCCCACGCCCTCGGCTCAAACTGACCCGATGTCCCTGGTAGCTCGGCCTGACGGGTGTCAAGCGCGTCGAGTCGCTCAACGACTCGCCCTACTTCATTCGCGCCCTCGCCGACATCGCCGCCGCCCACATCAAGTCAGGCAAGACGGTCTCTGCGCAGCTGGGTTTGCGGTGCCCGGGGTGCACGAACGAAAAGTGCGGGAAGCAGAAGGCGTGGTTCAAGAGCTTTGCGGACAAGGCGCAGCAGCAGGTGTCGGCGTAGACGCAGGCGGTTCTATAAAAGCGACTTGCGGGTTGCGACCGAGCGAAAGATGCGAAATCACGCTTGATTCGATGCGATGCGAACGATACGGCTACAGCTAAGGATACAGGCGCTTGTACAACCGATACAATCACGTTGCTAGTTGCCGCCAGCTCTCCATGACGATGTCGACGAGCGTGTGTTCGAGGACGCCTTCTTCGGGTCGCGCGGCGTGACCTGCTGGCGAGCGAACGGCGTCCGGGCGGTCATTCTGGAGCGAGTAAACGTCGAGAGGCTCGACGTTGGGGTAGCCGCGGACGAGTCTGTCGGAAGGGAGGTCAGATGCGAGCACCGAAAGGAGGAGAGGAAGAACGCACTCTAGCAATGCTGCGTTCCCTGGCTCGAGCGTCTTGCGATGCGTCTCAGCCTTGTCAGAGCAGTCCTGGGGACGCAGGCTTGTCAGTAGGAGCCCGGACGCTTTCGACAGCGAACAGCGCACCTGGCTCTGCACGACCCCGAAGCTCGTCGCGACCGCGATCTTCGCCTCCTTCGCTAGATCCGCAAAGACGTCGAGCGCTTTCCGCATCTTGATAGCGTACATCGACGGATCCGTGTTGTCGCCCAGAGGTGCGGTCGGTGCGATGAAGAGGATGTGCGAGGCGGGCGAGAGGAGGGCGGAGGAGATGTAGTTGCTGAGGCGGGCTGCGTCGCCGAGCGGGTTGAAGTGGAAGTTAATGGTGGAGAAAGAGCCATCCGAGCGCGTGCGAGCAAATGTGATGTCGCTGCGAGGCGAAAGAAACGGAGTCAGCTGTTGACCTTCGCAGAGCGGAGGAGCGCGAAGCTCACGATGGAGGCTCGCTGACCGCTTCAACTGCAGGCGTTCAACGTCAGTTGCGCTCATGAGTTGCGATAGCGAGAGAACTCACGAGAGCACTCCTTCTCGCCGGCACCGAACGTCGCGCAGAACAAGTTGCGAGCCTTCTCGTCGCCAACGACGAGAAGCGTCTCCGGCTTGACAGCTTCAAGCCAGTCGTTCATCTCGCGGTGCTGCGGCTTGCAGTCGTAGGGCGCCCAGATGTACTCGGCGGTGGAGTAGGTCGAGTCGCTCGAGGGGCGAGACTGCGACGAGAGTCAGGACTTGCTGAGCTCGCGATAGGCCAAGAACGGAACGCACGTGACTTTCGATCCAGCTGTAGAAGGGCGAGCTCGGCGAGTGGTGGTCGGCGTCGACGAAGGCCTTCGAGATCCAGCGACCACGGGTCAAGTCGTCTCGAGGCAGGCAAACTCGGTAGTCGTCTACTGGTGCGGGACCGGTAACTTGAATCGTCATGGGTGTGCTGCTGACGGCGAGCTTGTGGTCTGCGAGGGGCGGCAGATGAGCGCCGCCTCCTCATGCGAGGGAAGCAACTAAACGCACAGGGCTTCTCCGCGTCCTCCTTCTCGAACCGCTCGCAACGCTCGTACTCTGGCCATGTGTAGAGCTGGTACCATCCCGGGTCCCGGACGGCGCCCATCTCGACTTGCACCCGTCGGTCATCGAGTACCGTCGTCTTAGCGTGCGGAGGAGAGTGAATCGTCGGGCCGGCGAGGAGGACGCGGTAAAAGGAAGGGCAGAGCGAGATGTCGTTGTGCCGGCAGTGGAAGATGATGGACGACGTCTCGCCGGTCGAGATGGTCGAGCGAACGAACTCGATGTGAAGGTTGAAGTCTGCGAAGCGGCGGGGATCAGCGAGCGAAGGCGCGGTCACCTCAGACGCCAACGTACCGTACTCAAGTTTCTCACTCGGCGCGAGCGGGTTGTAACCTTTTGGCCGGTCGAGAACCGAGGCGTTTGTCGACTCGCGCACAAGAAGAGGGGCGTAGATCCAGTCGTCCGCCGACTGGAACTCGCTCGACGTCTCGCCGGCTAGGAATGGGATGTACAGCGTGCCGAGGAAGAAGAAGGACGAGATGCAGGCTGAAAGGGCGAGGAAAGCGAGTGCTTTGACGATCCGCCATGCCGCTGAAGGCCCGTCGCTCCCGTCCTCCTTGTAAAGCCGCTCCTTTCGTCGGCGGTGTCGAAACGAAGAGTATGGCAAGCCGCTCTTCTCGTCGTAAGAAAGAAGGAGAGGGACGGTGGCGTAGTCGCCGCAGCCGTCGGACGAGGTGGATTCGAACGACGAAGAGCGGTCAGGCGGAGTGACTAGCGGACCGAACGGCTCCTCGTTGATGGTGGATAGGCTTGGACGGTGACTGCAGGGAGACGTGGGAGGGCTGCGGTACTGGCCCATGGCGGAGAGAGAAGGCGTGGGAACAGCGAGCGACGAGGTGAGGCGGTGCGAGGACGTGAGGCAGTCGCTGGCAGCCGTAGGAACGTCCGCAAGGAAGCAGTCGATGCGAGAGTGCAAGAAGTGAAGAGGAAGAGGAAGCGGGAGGGAGCGAGAGCGGGTCTGGCGCCAGGAGCACCTCACCGTGGCTTCCAAGCACCAAGGCAAGAGGTCACGGTGTTGCGCCGGACGAGCGGCAAGCGCGCAGAAGCCTGGGAACAGGACGACCGGGACTGTCAGTTCGGGAAGGTCAACCGAGATGGAGCCTTCCTCGCGAGCGTGTGCCTTCCGCTGGCGAAGATGAAGCCAGAATGACTGCCAGGGTCGTCTCGACACGCCGTAGAGCCGTGCGAGCCATGTGTCGAGGGCAAAGGCAAAGTGGCGGGCGCGAAAGGGAAGCGCACCTCCTCCTCGTCCCGCCCAATGGCACTCTCCGCTGCTTCGACGAACTCCGTCATTACGAGTCTAAAGTGCTGAGACACCCTTCTTAGCCGACGACCCTGCCGAAGGAACACTGCTCACCTTCCGCTCTCGTCCTCCGCTGTCGATCCTCCTTCCTCGCGCGAGCAGCTGTTCTCACGCCTCCAGCAGCACAGGAGTGGCTGCCACGCACGCAGCGCAACGCGAAGGGACTCGATCGCTCGTGCGGCTTCTCCTGGCAAGGCCACGCGGGCGGCAGAGCGGGTTCAAGGGTGTTCTTCCTTCGACGTTGCAAGGGGTGGCGGGTTCGACTAGTACGCCGGCTTGTCGAGCGGCAGAGGAGTGTGCAGGAAAGGCCTCTTACCCTCGCCCGAGCCGAAGACGGCCGTGCCGTGGCCCTCGGCGGCGGTACTCTTGATCTGGTACTTGTAGATGACGAGCTGTGCGAAAGGATGATCCGTTAGCCTCCAGCGCCGCAGGAGAAAGCGATGCCATGACTGCAGCTCGTACGCACCCCCTCGAGCCCGACCGGTCCCCTCGCGTGCGTCTTGCCCGTCGAGACGCCGACCTCCGTCCCAAACCCATACCGGAAGCCGTCCGCAAAGCGCGTGCTCGCATTGACATACACGCCCGCCGAGTCGATGCCCCTGCAGAATGCCCGCGCGTTCGCCTCGTCCTCCGTGACGATCGCATCGGTGTGGTGCGAGGAATGGTTGTTGATATGCGAGATGGCGGCGGCGCAGGAGGGGACGGCTTTGACGGCGAGTATGAGGTCGAGGAACTCGGTCTCGTAGTCTTCGTCTGTTGAGGGCTTGACGAGTGTCGAGAAGGACGGGCGGGAGGAGATAGAGGCGGAGAGGGCGGAGAGGGTGGACGGGTCACAGCGAAGCTGGATGTTGGCGTCGAGCAGTGCGGACGCTAGCCGGGGCCACAGGGAGGAGAGGAGCGAGTCGTGGATGAGGAGCGTCTCCGCGGCGTTGCAAGCGGCGGTGTAGGTCGTCTGCGAGGAGCGGCGAGGTCAGCGACGGCTTCTTAGCCCAGTCCCGCACTCGCGCACCTTCGAGTCGACAACGACGTTAATCGCTTTCTTCTCAACCGCACTCTCGTCGACATAGACCGCACACAACCCGTCCGCATGCCCCATGACCGGAATCCTCGTTCCGTTCTGGATACTCCGCACAAGGCTATTGCTCCCTCGGGGAATGACGAGGTCGACGTAGCGGTCTTGCGAGAGGAGCGAGGCGATTTCGGAGCGGGAAGAGACGGTCTGGATGTAGGCGGGAGGGAGGGAGGTGGTCGAGAGGGCGGACTGGATGACGCGGGTCATGACGTTCTGCGTGTGGATTGACTCCTTGCCGCCCTTCAAGATTGCGGCGTTGCCTGGCGAGAGGGAACAGGGTGAGTTCAAGAGCGGAAGGCGGGAGAAAGCAAACGCACCCGACTTGATCGCAAGAGCGGTAATGTTGACGATGACTTCGGGCCTCGCCTCGAAGATCACCAGCAGGACACCAATCGGACATGTCACGCGGTACAGGTCGAGTCCCTCGTCGAGCTTGCGTGCATAGGTAACCTGTCCAGTCGGGTCGGGGAGCGAGTCGACGTCGAGAATGCCCTGCAGCATCGAGTCGTACTTGTCGGCGGACGATTGGAGGTCTAGCCGCTTCAGCAGCGACGACGACATCTTTCCCGCCGCTACCTGTTCCCGTGCAGCCTGTCGACCATTCCCGAGGTTAGCTCCGGGGTGTCCTGCGTCTCGAGAAGCGGAGGAAAGACCAGCGCACCTCAATGTCCAGCCTGTTCGCCTCCAAAATCTCCTCCTTGGCATCCGTCAGCGCCTGCTTGAGCGCGAGAAGCGCCGTGTGCCGTTCGCTCGAGTCGAGGAGTTGCGAGGCATCGAACGCCTCTTTCGCCGTGCGCGCGACTTGTTCTGCCGTAGGAGCGGCACCGTTCAAACTCATTGTAGCGGTCGCAACAGCTCGCGAGCGGGAGAAGCGGGAGCGAGCGATGAGGCGGGAGTCAAGAGCGTGCGGAGTGATGAGGCATCTCGACGACGACAGCTTCCTTCGCAGGTTTGGCGACCAAGAAGATCATAGAAAGTGCTGTCAAGGCAGCTTGCAGAGCCGCAATCACTAGCGAGGCGAGTTGACGAAGGTTGCACGCTCTTCTTCCGCTCGATGCTCTGCTCCTCGACCTGCACTCCCTGCAATGTGTACGATGTTGCCTCAAGTCTTCTTGCAGGAGTCAGGGAAGGGCACGCGAACGCGAAAGGAAGCGAGGACGAGATGGGGAAGAAAGTGAAGGAGGACAATGCGCCGAGCGAATGAGTGACAGACTGCGCTCGATAAGCTCACCCAGCGACCGGTTGACCTCACACTCTTGCAACGCTGTTGAAGTACCGAACCGCTTCCTCCGACTCCTCGTCGAACGGAAAGCTGTTCGTCCTCCAAGCCTTGACGAAGCGCTTGTGGAAAACCTTGATGCCCTGTTTGAGGTCCACCACGTCCTTGTGATTGTAAGCAGGAGTCGATACGACCCATTGAGCTGAGTCGGCGACGGCTTCGGGCTGGATGGTGATGCGCGAGAGGTTGTTCACCAAGTCTTGCGCAACTGCCCTGCCGACTAAGGGTGCGGCAAAGTCGATGAAGTCGTGTTCTGTTGGAGCGTGATATGGGTAGTGAGCGCCCATGCGCAGCTGGTCGGCGAGGTAGTGGAGGAGGAAGCGGGCGAGAGAGGCGAGGGCGAGGATTCGAGCGTCGAGGTTGAGCGAGTTGCGCTGCGAGACATAGAGCGTCTTGAGCTTGTCAAACAGATCACGATCTGCTCGAGGGTATCGTCAAGAACCAAAGACAAGTGTAGAGGAAGAGAATGAAACGCACCGTGAACGCCTTGCGTGACATGCTGCGGAAGCTCCTGCCTAAGCCAAACCGGGTAGGCTGTGAAGCGAAGAGTTAGTGCTCGCATCGCTGACCTAGGGTGAAGAGGAGTGCACTCACAGAGAATAAAGTCTTGCGACAACTCGTACCGCTGCCTGACAAAGACCGCTCGCGCCCAGGGTATCAACGGGGCCAGATTTTGCAGCATCCTTTCGTGCCGCGCCATCATCCTTTCGTGCTGCGCCATCAGCCGGTCGATGTCCTGCGTGACGGAGTCGAGCCGCTCGTGCCATTCAGCATCGCGCCTTGGGACCCTCTCATCCAACAAAGCGTCCGACTCTGGCCAGCCTCGCTTGAGCGCTACTTCAGGCCGGTCGGAACCACTACGGACAACTGCAAGACTGTGCTCATCGGCGGAAGGCGTCGGGGTCGTCCCAGCCTGGTCCGAGTCATCACAAGCTGGCGAGGACATGGAAGACGGGAAGCTCAGGAGCCCAGATCGTGTAGCAGAGGGAGACGCTCGTCAAGACAGCGAAGAAGGAGCGCTCTGCCTGTTGGGCGTGTGCAGGCGGCGAAGGAGAAAGTCAGACAGAAGATGGGCGAAAGGAGCGCAACGAGGAGGCACGAGGAGGGGACGGGAAGGCAGGGGCGCGCGAGGGCGATTAATGGAGGACTAGCTGAGAAGTAATGGGAGCGCCGATAAGCTTTGTGAAGCGGCAACGGAGAGAAGCGAGGCGAGCGAGTGAAAGGTCGCAGTCAGAGAGGCGACGGGCACAGACTGACGAGTCCTCGACTTCACGCTCGGCTGACTGGGAGTCGCCGTGACTGAGCTTACAAGATATTCACAGTGAGGCACTCATCACTGGAGAAGCAGCGGAGGCGAAGGACCATTCGCTTCTTCTCCTCATCCCAGCAAGCGCACGACGAAACGACTCTCAGCTCCTTCAAGCGATAACGCCGTCCGCGTGACAAGCTCGACACGCCGCGCGACTACTTCTTCGCCCCGGCGCCAAACTTGAACGCCCCGCCCTTGAGCGGATCCTGCCTCTTCCCTCCCGCTCCGGCCTTTCCACCCCTCGCACCTCCCCGTCCTCCTCCTCTCGCTCCACCTCGTCCACCCCGCGCCCCTCCCCGCCCTCCCCGCCCAGGCTTATGGAACGTCACCTCCGGCTTCTGCTCCTCCCGTCCATTCGCAGACGACGAAGCAGCCGCAGCGGCAGAAGCGGCGCGCGAGTCGTTCGCTCCGACGGCGGCGATGCGCGGCATGAGGTAGCCTGGGACGTGTTTGAGGTGGGGCTGGACGCGAGAGGGGTGCAAGGGCTTGTCGTGACGGAGGAAGGCGAGGTCGCGGGGGTTGTCTTCGAAGTGGGCCTGTCGCGACACCGTCAGCACGATCAGGAAGAGAGGAAGAAGACGCGCGAACGCACCTTGAGCTTCTCCGAGTTTAGCACCTCGTTCTTGATCTCCTTGACCCTGGCCTCCCTCACTGCCGCCTTGGTGACGCTCCTCAGCCCATCCTCCATGCGATACCTGAACCCCTCGACCTGCTTCAAATCAAACTTGTACTCCTTGACATCCTGGCCCTTGGCCTTCTGCGCGCGCTCAATCCTCGCCCAGACGCGCTCGTCAAACCGCGCAGTCTCAAGCGAGACGTCGTTCTTCTTGTGTTTGCCCCATACGTCGCGCGGGACGATGAACGACAAACTCGTGCCTGTTCGTCCGGCCCGAGCGGTGCGGCCGACTCGGTGCGTGTACGACCGAGCGGAGAAGGGCAAGTCAAAGTTGATGACGCACGCGACGTCGACAAAGTCGACTCCGCGCGAGACGCCGTACTCGGTCGTCGAGGGCTTGGACGAGGCCGAGGCGTCTTTTCGTTTCCGCTTCTTCGACGGAGGCTCGGAAGGTGCGGCGGTCGATGTCGAAGCCTCCGAGTTGCCCTCGTTCTCCGCCGCAGGCTGCGTCGCAATCACTGTCGCGCGCACTCGTTAACTCGTGCTCACGAGAGAGAGAAAGGAGAAGCCAAACGCACATCCCGCCGACCCTTCGCCCTCCTCGTCATCATTCGTATCCCGGTCGTGGCCTTCGAGCCCGCTCTCGTCCGTCGCGATGAGGTAGTCGAACACGCCGCGGTTGAACTCTTGCACGGCGTGATACCTGCGCACGCCGAAGCAGATGTCGTCAATCGCCGTGCTCCAGGCGCACAAACTCGAGACACAGTGAGAACGAGTCTCTGGCGAACGCACCTCGAGTTGAAAGGCAACTCAGCATTCAACACTCCACTCTTGATCCCAAACTTTTCCAAAAACAACTTGACGCGGTAGCCTCGGTCGGTGTCGTTGACAAAGATGAGGCACTTGCCTTTGATGAGGCGGAGTTTGAGGATGACGTAGAGGAGGAGGAACTTGTCTTCTTCGGTGCAGCTGGACGCGCGCATTCGTGAGTGAGCAGATGAGGGAAAGGAGGGAAGGGGAAGGGACGAACCGGACGCAGTATTGAGAGAGGTTGGCTAGCTCGTCTTCGTCTTCCTCGAGCTTCAGCACGACCTGAGAGAGGCGCATAGCGAGTAGACGAGTTCGTCAGCGCGCAGTACGGCGGATGAAACAGCCTGCGAAGGAGCGCCTACTCACCGGATTCCGCAACACGACGCCCTTCAACTCCTCCACCTCGCCGGTCAACGTCGCGCTCATCAAGAAGCTTTGGTAGACTTTCGGAAGTCCCCAAGGACCGGAAAGGATCGAGCGGATGTCCTCGGATGAGTGGCCGTACGAGAGGATGAGGTCGGCTTCGTCGATTACGAGGTAGTCGAGGTGCGAGAGGTGGAGGGTCTGCGGGCGTGTGCGTGTCAGAAATTCAAGGCGAATTCAAGGGTGTGAGTGAGAAGGACGCACTTCGGAGCGGAGGTGAGCGAGTGCTCGTGAAGGTGTCGCGACGACGATTTCCGGCCGGTCAGCGAGCGCCATCCTGCACGCGCCCATGCGGTCGACTCGTCAGTTTCTGCAGTGTTTAGACAGCGTCTCGAGAGCCGCAGCGAGCCCGAACGCACCGTTCCACGCGCTCCCCGCCCGCATGCGCCGTCTTGCGCTTCTTGTTGCGCCCTCCCGCCTCTCCGACGACATTGACGACCCTGATCCCGTCTCCCTCCTTCTCACCAATACCGAGTCCCTCGACCAACCGCGCAATCTGGCCCCTCACTTGCTCGGCCAACTCCCTCGTCGGAACCAGCACCAGTGCCCTCGTTCCCTCCAGCTCTCCCCGATCCCTCCGAGCCAGGATCCCCTGCACGAGCGGTACGGCATACGCGAGTGTCTTTCCTGACCCAGTCCGTGCGCGCGCAAGGATGTCGCGGTTCGACTCGAGTGCGAGCGGGATGAGGGTGTGTTGGATCGGAGTTGGGACGGCGAAACCGCGTGCGGCGAGCGAGCGGAGCAGCAGGGGGTGCAGAGCAGGCTCCAAGTCGGCGAATGCGGCCACTTTCGAGCTGCGCGGAGCCATTTGGGCGAGGGTGAGCGAGCGAGGACGAGCAAGAGCACCACCAAGCTCGACTTGGTCTCCTCGCCAATGTCACTCGCCAAGTTGGTATTCGTCTCGACGGACTGTGTACAATGCAGCGCACGCGACGACCCCATACACAGCGGGGGAAAGGTCTATGGCGGGCGGACTCCATCTCGCTCTTCCGCGCGCCTACTTCTCCGTCTGCGTCCGGAAACTGAGGAAGCACGTCCACAAGATACCCAGGACTGTGCGACAAGAGCGACGAGTCGTCAGTCTACAATGCGAACAAAGCAGAAGGACCGGAGCGAGACGCACTCGAGCCGAACGGGACGCGGTACCTGCGAGCGAGGCAAGGAGGGCATGTCAGTCTCGCTCAGATGGAGGCGTAGCGAGCAGCCAACGCACCTCAAGGGCACGTAGCGGAAGTTGATAGCAACCGCAATAGGCCAGATCTGCGCACACAACCGGAAGATGAACCGTCAGTCTGGCCTCTCCTCTCAAGCGTCCGGCAACAGGTCAAGAAACCCGCACGCACCTGCCAGTTGACGAGCAAGATGGGGAGGTAGTTCTGCTTGATCTTCTCCTTTGTCTCTTCCGAGTCGAGGCCTTCGAGGAGCGACATCGAGAAGAGGAAGATGAACAGCGAGATCGGGGCCCTGTTGCGTCAGACCGCATCTTCCATCAGCCTTTCTGCACACAAGAGTAAAGGGCAGGGTGAGAAGAATGCAAGCGCGACGCACATGCCCAGCTGGTCCGCCGCGACCCTCTTCGCCAGCTGCACCACACTAACCGGCGGTTCCTTCTCCGACATACTCGGCACCGTACCCGTCGGTACAGGCGGCACCTTCTCTTCCAACCCTGTGCCGCGCTCGAGTTTCGAGCCCTTGGGAAAGTGTTTCTCTAATCCTGGAATCGGAGAGTCGACTTTGACTTTTTGCATGGGCGAGGCGGAGGGGAGGGGGCGGAGGGGGAAGTTGACTTCGAGGAATTCTGTGCGCGAGTGAGGGAAGCGAGGCGAGGCGAAACGAGGCGAGACGAACCATCAGCCATGTCAGCAAGAAGATGAGACGCAGGGACAAGAGAGGGGGACGACGCACTGTTCCACGCCCCGCCGAGCGGTCCCATCGAAGCGCCAAACACCGCAAACCTCAACGTCCTCGTCAGATCATACATCGGCTGCAACCCTTGCTGTCCTCCCAAAACCGCCCACACGATGCACTTGTCAGTTCGCCGGTTAGTCGACGCAGGAATGGGCGAGGCGAACGCACGCCGAGGCCGAGCATCTGCGCGCTTATGTCCCCCACAGACATGAGGATTCCGTTGGCGACGCAGAGGGTGATGTAGGGCCGTCGTTCGAAGCTGCGGGTGTAGGTGCGGAGGAGGGAGGACATGGTGTGCGGTTTGGCGGGTTGTGGCGGTTTCAGAGACGTCGCTTAGGGTTCCTGCGAGCAAATAGGTCAGCTCAGCGGCCGCACGAGCGAGAAGAGAGCGAGACGCACCCGGTCAAGTTGTGCGGCGGCGAAGAACGTGCAGCGGAGCTCTGGCGATCGTTGGAGCGGTTGCGATAGCGTTGTACAGGTCTGTATAGCTGGTTGTGCGGGTCTAACAAGCAGCAGGACACAGCGAGGAGTGGACGACGTCGAACGAGCGATGACGAAGTTCCTCTTCCTCACGAAAATCCGCTTCTTCGCGATCTCGCCCTTCTGCTGAGTGTGCGCGGTGTTGGCTACGCTCTGAATGACCGGTGGATCACGCTGGTGCAACTCGCCGCTTTCCACAACGCAATGCGTCCTCCCTGTCCTGCTCCCTCGCCTCCTCTCTCGCGGCGAATCCGCGGACCCGTCCTCGGCACGCGATGCTCCTCTCCAGCCTCGCTTGCGTTGCTAGACTTCACTGCTACCCGCTGGACTCCACCCAGAATCGCAGGAATCGAGTTGAGGGATGGTGGGGCGGACGAACGGTGCGTTCTCCTCGTTCTCACTCGTGCATGGCGCGCTGAGCCTCCGTTGATCCGCCCAGACCGCTCTTATGGCTCGACACACCGCTCAAGAATGGCGGACTACAGCGACGAAGACGATGCGCCTGTTCGTCCGCGCTCTTCATCTCGTCGATTCGCGCCAGCGATGCTGAAACGGCGTCTGTTCTTTGCCAGGTCGACTCGCGCACGCCCTCAGACGACTTTACAGTGCGCCCAGACTCCCTTACCTCGTCCCGCTCATGCTGACTCCTCCCCCCGCCGTCCAACGAATCCAGACAGACGAAGACGACGACTCCCTTCCGCCTCTCCCATCCAGGTCCCGCTCCGCGGCAACCCCGAGGACCGCAAACACAATCCCGGCAGGAGGTCTGCCGAGGCAGTCGTACTGGCGGGACTTGGGGAGGGCGAACGTGGAGCAGAAGGGGAGGGTCCGGCCGAAGACGTGAGTCTGGCGCTTCTCTACGGCTTCGGCGAAACGGGGCGTTCGTCGCGGGTTTGCTGATGAAGACGAACGCGGCGCCAACAGCAAGCTGCTCGTCTCGGACTTGGACAACACGTTGTTCGCCCCGAACGGCGACGGCGTGATCGCGGTGCGTCCCTCTCCTGCCTCTCCCTCGCGCTTCTCTCGGCATTTCTGACTGTCAGAAGTCTCTCGCAGCGCCCCTACCTCAAGACTTTCATCAAGTACATCACGCACCCCTCATCGCCTTACAAGCTCGCTCTCTGGACGTTCAGCGGCCGTCAATGGGGTACGGCGCATCTGCGCCAAGTCGGGATGGGCAAGGTACATCCTCTCTCTTTCTCCCCCACGAGCACGAGCTGATCAGGGACGAAGCGCAGTACCTCTTCGACTCGACCTCCGAACCGGTCGGCGAGGTGCCGAAACTCAAAGAGGGGGTAGTGGCCTTCTGGGGCTACGAGGACAGTGGGTTCACGGCGTTTGGACAGATGGAGGCTGGCAAACCGCTGAAGGATCTCGACCTCGTGCGGCCCGTCCCTCCTCCCCGCTCTCCTCCTTTCCTCTCCTCCTAGACACGGGAGAGCTGACGAAGACGTGATGCACGCAGATGTGGGACATGCTGAATATCACGACCCACTCGCACTGGAGCCAACTCAACTCGCTGATTGCCGACGACCAGCGCTCGAACGCCCGCGCGCAGCCGGACTCGATCGTCAATTGCCCGGTCTTTACGAACAAGTGCCCGGACGACGAGTTCCTGTTGGCGTTCATTGGGGTGCTGGACTCGCTGTGCGTCGCGAACTCCGTATGTTCGTCCAGGAGCTCACGCTGACCTCGACACGCTCGACGTCTGTGTTCCGTGTGCACAGCGCCCACGAATCCAACTTCTCCTCCTTCATCCAGTCCACCTCGCTCAACGGTGGTATCGATCCCGCCAGACTCCCGCACTACTGCTTCCTCGGCGAAACGGTATGCGGAGAGCTCGGGATCAAGGTCGAGAGAGGGTTTCCTTACCCTCGTCCCGGTGCGCGCGACTTCCGCTCTTCAGCTTCTCGAGACGCTCGGAACGAGGACTGATGTGAAGCGAGGAGTCGACGCGCAGAACCGATCGAACGGATGCGGTCTGTCGCGAAGCTTTCGCCGACTCGCCACGGTCCCGTCCACGACGCTGCCCCGGAGCCGACCAGTCCGTCCCTTTCTCCCTTCTCGCTCCCCCTCTCGCGCTCACACCCACGCTCAACAGCCGTCCAGCCACTCGCGCTCCCGCTCACCTCGCCCCCAACACCCCTACGTCTCGCCGCGGGAATGCCAACAGGTCCTTCGTACGCCTACGCCGCGGAAGTCGGTGTCCCCAGTCGGGTGTTAGGGAAGGAGGAGGTGAAGAAGCAGAGGCCGTTGGTGGTGTTTGATCTGGATGGGACGGTGCGCTCTCGTTTTCCTTCTCAGCACGTCGCACGACGGGGCAAGGTGCTGATAACGGTTTGCGCTGGGGTACAGCTCTACTGCCGCCCGCCGCAGAACCTCGAGCACATGCCGGACGGCGAACCGGCTGGCAGGCCGTACCTGCGGACGTTCCTCTCGTGGTTGATGCGGTACGAATCCCCTTGGTGTGCGTCCGCCAGCTCTCTTGCGTCTCTCTCGCCTACCAAGACTAGGAACTGACGCTGCGCGTATACGGTGGTGGACACAGCCGTCGCAATCTGGACAGGCTCGCAGAAAGCCACCGCCATCTCCTGCCTCTACGCTCTCGACCTCGGCCTCGTCGGTCCCTCGCTCACCTCCAGCGGCGAAGCCGAGATTCTCCACCCCAAGTTGCTCGCGGTTTGGGCGAGGGAAGACTTTGGGCTCACGAAGAAAGATTACGAGAGTTATGTGGCGGTCGTCAAGGATCTGGAGCGGTTGTGGGAGTTCCTCGTGCGTTCGCGCTTCCCCCATTCGTCACGGCGCTGCAGAACTGATTCGCTGCATCGCAGGCACACAAGAACGGCGCTTGGCAGTTCGACGCCTCTAACACTGTCATGGTGGACGACACGCCTTCGAAACTCCGCGCGCAACCTTACTCGCTCATCGCTGCCCCGTCCTACCTCTACCCCTTCGGCCCAGGATCGATCCAGACGACCCGCTCGTTGATGGACCAGTTCCTCCTCGCGCTCGTGGGGATGCTCGATTCCCTCCTCGCGGAATCGAACTTTGCGGCGTTCATCAAGAGCATGAGGTGGTACGACAAAGACGAGGGTACGAACGAGGTACAGACCGCGAAGGAGATGAGGAGGTGGATGAACGAGGGGTTGGAGGTTTTACGGAAGGCGGAAGTGCCGGTTGAAGTCGAGGGGAGGGGGTTGGTACCCGGCGTGAAGGGGACGGAGAACGAGCCGAGGGGGATCAGGACGGCGCCTGTGGTGGTGAAGAAGGGTGAGTACGCCGGGTTTAGGGAGGACGAGGATGATCAGGCTGACCTTCCCAAACTTCGGATTGAGCAGCTCCTGCCGTCTTCCGCTCAAGCGCGGCTATCACGCCTTCAACTAAGCCGGCTGCACCTCCGACCCCCTCTGCTCCTGCCGCCGCTGTCGGTCCCTCAGGCCTGACCGCGGCCAACCTTTCCGCGCTGAACCACTCGAACGGCGACGACGTCGGCGTCAACTCAGACACCGACAACGCGAGTGACACGACCTCCTCGTCCGTCAATGGCGACGCGGCGGATGATGACAGGGCATCCAAGGCGTCGACCGAACCTGCGCCTCCTTCGTCGCCGCTCATCCGTCCCGTGTCTGCTCCGCCGCAGCGCAAGTCCGCCCCGCGCAGCCGCTTCGAGCGGGAGATGGACGCCCTCCGTGCGCTGCACCCAGGTCGAAGGAAGGGCCGGAACGCGGTCGAGGACTGGGAACTGCTGAGTGAGGATCCGGACGAGAAGCCGCGGGAGGTCAAGAGTCCGTTGTATGGGTAGGCCGGGGTGTCACGGGGGACTGTCATGACTACTCGGGGTGGATTTGACTGTGCTTGGAACGGTTGTGCGCGAGGAAGGAGGTCTTTCGCTTTTCGCCCGCTTGACCCGCTTCACTTCCTTTCGATTGCGACCAAAGTCATTCCGTCCACGTGCTCGGCGCTAAGTTCGTCGAGTCGCGTCGTGTCGAGCGGCCTCGACTTTGGTCCTCGCCAGCAGACGACGACCCGTGCTTCACTCGTCGTCTCCCTCGACACCGCTCACTGGCTCACTCTCACGCTCACACGTCGACGTCGACGCTGACAAGCTACTCACCCGCTTGACCCGTTCGAGCGCACCGCCACGCTAGAACTCGGCCCCCGCGTCCTCTCGCCAGGAGTTCCACTCGTCGCCCGTCTCTCTCGCTCGCTCGACCGCTTGGACGTGTGTGACAGGTCGCTTACTCTACTCGCGCGTAACGACAACCAGGTGCGCCCAGCGGAACTCCGCATGCGAGAGGTAGAGACACGGACGATCGCTGACTCCCTTTCTCCTGGCGAACAGCCTCGCGCGCCATTCTCACGCAATCCGACTCGATGGGCGCCAGTGCACGAGCGAGTACGGCAGTGGAACGACGGGGGTTGCCTGAGCTGGTCTTGCCGGGGACGGAGGCGGACGGGGGCCGGACGTCTGTCAGTACTGAGCGGATGGCAGAGAAGAGGGTCGCGTCTTCTCCTCGTCGTGCGTGGCCATTCCACTCCTCGAGGCCATCCTGAGAAGCTAACGAACCGCCGGGTCGCGCGCAGCAATCACCTTCGCACTCCCACCGCTCCCTTCTCCTCGACTCTCCTCGACCTCTCCCCAACTTACTCCCAATTCAGAACACGCCAACCCCTTCGCCACATCTCCTTCCTCTCCCTCGTCCGGCTTCCTCGGCCGACTGGGTCGGAAGCTGTCGCTTGGCCGGAGGGGGTCGAGGAAAGGAGCTGCGAGTTCAGAGCGGCGAAAGTCGAGGGACGTGGGCGATCAAGTGCCACCTCCTGCGCTCGCAGTGACAGAGGAGAAGGAGAACGTCCCTCCCTCGACGTCTCCTCGCACAGCCCGCACCGGCGTACGAGTCCAACTCGTCGACCCTGGCCCCTCCGCCGCTGCCGCGCCTCCCTCCCCCGAACTCAGCCGCCGCCGCAGCCTACGCGTCTCCTCCGCCCTCCTCCGGCGCTCAAAATCCGAAGGCTCTTCCCCCTCTGCTGCGCCGGTGAGGAGGAGACGCTCGGCGCGGCGCGGGCAAGATAGGCTGTGGACTGAGGAGGAGAAGTATGCCGAGTTGGCTTCTCGCCGACGGGCAGAGCGGGGCGGGGAAGGAGAGGGAGGTTATGTGTGGGATGAGGGGCTCGGGTTGTGTTGGGATGGGAGGGAGATGGGTGCGTTCGCGCTCGACTTCTCGCTCTTTTGTGCTCCTTGTCAGAGTACGAGACTGATAGAAGGCTTCCGCTGCCGCACAGTCCGCCCCGACTTGCTCTCCTCCACCACCACCACCCCTCACGAACCGTACACCTCCAACTCAGACTTCCTCCCCTCTTCCCTCCCGCAAGCGGCCCACACCCACGCGCTCTCCTCAAGCACTACATCACACCGCATAGTCTACGCCTCGACCCTCTCCTCCTTCCCTCCTCGTCCGCCGCTGAAAGGAAAGGAGAGGGAGTTGACGCCTGCTGAGAAGGTGGTGAGGGAGTATAGGGAGAAATGGGGGTGGTTGACGCCTAGTGTCAGGTCTTTCAGGTTAGATGATGAGGCGGAGGAGCGGGAGAAGGAGGAAGGGGTCAATGTGGAGGAAGGGGATGAGGGGGACTTGCCGACTCCTACACCGTCCAACCCCCTCTCGACAGACGGTTTCCCACCGCTCTCGCCCGCTCCACACCCCCAAACAGCGATCGACGCCCGCACTCTATCCCGCCTCGACCCTTCTCTCCCGCCTCACCTCTCCCACACCGACTCGCCCTCCGCCTCTCCAGTTTCACCAACACACGCATCGAAAGCCTCGACAGCTAGTTCGTCCGTCCCTTCCGAGCGGTACGGGTTCACTTCTCGGACATGCTCGTCGAGGGGCAGGAAGGGGAGGGGGGAAGGAGGGAGGGGGAGTAGGGATTCGAGTGCTGAGGGTGGGGAAGAGGGTGGGAGCGAGACGAGTCATGGGACTGCCGAGGACGACGGCGAGGAGGACGAGGATGAGGACGCTGAGGAGGAGGGGCGGAAACGAGGAGGAGCGGAAGGTAGGCTGGGTGTGCCGTTCCAGCAGCGCAAGATGGACGGGAGCTTCGTCACTGCCGATGAAGGGGCGGAAGAAGACGCAGTGGACGACTGGCAGGAGTGCGAGTAGACCTCGATGGGGCGTATGGGCGCTCGACAGACACTTTTCCCTCTCTTTCCTCTCGACTTGTCGGGTTTCGTATTTCTCCCTCATTCGTTCGTTGTTCCCGCATTCCTTTCGCACCCTTCGCACTGTCCTATGCTTGCATCACGTCGTTCGTTTCGCGAACCCCTTCAGCTCGTCGCCTCGATGCGAGCGATCTCCGAGCGAACGCACCGTCGACGTCGCTCTTTCGCAGTGTTCGTGCTAAATCTGGGAAAATCGTAGTCAAAGGGCATTGCGCCTCTGCAAGGCATTTGCGCCCAATCCATACGCTCACTCACAGCTTCACTTGACTCTTTCGCTTGCTCTCCTCACTCGCCCGCTTGGTCTGCTACAAGGTCTCGCCCATCCGCTTGCTACGACTCTCTCAAACCGACTGCCGCTGCCCGCTGTTCGAACAGAGCCACGCCCGACTAAGCCGGAGGTCATGACCGGCTTGATAGGCGGTGCGATGAGGCTCTCGCCTTCGTCAGGCAGCAGGCGGGCGCTGCATACTTCTGTGCGTTTCCTCTACTCTTCCCCAGAGCTGTTACAGGTGCGCTGACTCCGCTCATCGTGGTGTGAGAGCAGGTGAGGCGCCGGATTAGCTCGGGAGGAAGGGCGTTTGGGGAGGCGCAGAAGCGGCAGGTCGAGCTCGAGCGACAGCGGGTGCGTCCACACCGTGCGAAACGACAGTACCAGCCTAACCGATCACTCGCCGGCGTTGTGCAGGACTTGATCTTGACCGTCCTCGAGGCGCACCCTTCGGCTCGCGACTCGCGCTTCTACCTGCGCAACTTTGACCCTGCGTCTCGTCCGGCAAGGTCTGAGCAGCCCGCACCCGACTCTCCACCGTCCCAGTCCTCCCGGACCGCCGAAACGCCCGCCTTCCCCGTCTTTGATCCGGAAACGCCGACGACTGCGTTCTCGCGCACGATTCCGACGAATGCACAGTCTGCGGACCTCTCGCTTGCGGCAGCACTGGGTATCTCGTCGCCTGGAGCTGCGGGCGGGACAGCGACGGCTTACAAGGGCAAGACGGCTTTCGCGGACGAGCTCCTCTCCGCTCCTGCGTCTCGTCACACCGCCCTCGTGAAAGTGCAGGGACCTTTCACGGACCGCCAACTCGAGTCCATCGCCGAGGGGATGGTCTACCTGAAGAAACTCGGACTCGTCTCGATCATCGTGATGGACAACGAGCGGTGGAACGGCGAGGAAGAGCGGATATGCGCGATGGGCGGGTTGACCGACGAAGACAGGCGGGAGAGGGTCGTCCACTTGCGCGAGGAGATGAAGCGCGAGACGATCCGGTTCAGCGATATGCTCGAGGCGAGCGGTGGGGCTGCGCGGCCTCTGCTCGAGGGTGTCTTGTGCGTCAAGGGCGCGGCGTTTGAGGATACCTGGACGCCTATCGCCTCGACAAGTGCGAGACCGTACGAAGAAGGCGCGGCGACGGACCTCTTCGTCGATTCGCTCTCGGGCATCCGCAACGCAGTCAGGCAGGGCGAGATCCCCGTCATCCCGCCCATCGCCCTCGACGCCTCGTGCTTCTCGCTCTGCGTCTCGGCGAACGATGCGGTGAGGGCGATCGCGTCCGGTCTCGCGGACGCGGAGAAGCGGACAGGGTTGCGGTACGAGGCGGACGCGCGGTTGCAGAACGACGTCGACTTGACGCCTCTCCGGCTGATGGTCATCAACCGCGAGGGCGGTCCGCCGTCCCATGCTCGCGGCGGCGACCCTCACTTGTCGATCAACCTCGAGTCCGAGTTTGACTACATCTCCAAGACCTTCAACTGGCACGACACGCACCCTACCGCTCTTTCGAACCTCGCCCTGATCCGCGACTGCCTCGCCGACCTCCCTCGCACCGCATCAGCTGTGATCGTCTCGCACCGTTCTCCCCGCTCGCTCATCGCCAACTTGATCACCAACAAACCCGCCCACTCGCCTTCACTCGCACACGACCTCCTCCCGCGCCGCAACATCCAGCACCAGCCCACCATCATCCGCCGTGGCTTGCCGATCCGGGTCTCGCGCTCGATGGACGACCTCGACGAAGACAAGCTCGCGCACGTCCTCGAAGAGTCGTTCGGCAAGACACTCAATCGCGAACCGTACTACGACCGCCTGCGCCGCGACTTGGACTTTTGCATCATCGCAGGCGATTATCAGGCCGTTGCGATCGTCACGAACGAGCGGCTGCGCGACCCGGAGACGGGCCACCCGCTCGTCAACCCCGAGACGGGCGAGGAGGAAGAAGCGATTGCCTACCTCGACAAGTTTGCGGTCCTCACGTCGCTGCAGGGGGACGGCACGGTCGACTTCCTGTGGGGAGCGCTGCGCGACGAGTCGTGGGGACTCGGCCTGCTCGACGCGCTCAACCCCAACGTCGGCGGTCTCGGAGGCCAAGGTATCCCTCGCGACTTGGTGTGGCGCTCGCGGTCCAACAACCCCGTCAACAAGTGGTACTTTGACCGCTCGACCGGGTTCTTCAAGATCCCGCCTCCGCCGAGCTCAGAGGTCGGCTTTGCGCTGTTCTGGTGCGAGGCGAACAGGGTTGACGAGTATGAGCGTGGGAAGAAGGAGGGGAGGGAGGTCAGGACGACGCCGGAGAAGCTCAGGGAGTGGGCGCCCGTCATTGGCAAGATCCCGAGCTGCTGGAAGTGAGCCGGGGGCCTCGTATCGACACTGCATTGCCGCATCTCTTGCATTTGGACTCGTATGCAGGCAATACCAAGTTGGCGCAATGTCAACCTCGCCAACGCCTTGCCGTCGGCTCCTTTCTCGGTCCACCTTCTCCGCCGCTCGCCCGACGACGCCGTCTTTCTCCTTCGTCGACTCTTGTCTGCTCACGAGAGACGTCGCTGCCACGCTCGCTGTCCCCGTCGCTCGCTTCTCCCGCTTCTCCCATCCTCATCGCCATTCCCCGCTCGCAATGGACAAACGCCTCTTCCTCCGCAATGCGCTCCGCCAGAACAAGCCAGCAGTCGGAATGTGGCTCACGATGCCTGGGACTGCGCTAGCTCGGACGATCGCGACCGTTCCCGGGCTGAACTGGATCCTGATTGACGGCGAACATGGGTTGGTGACGGATCGCGACTTTTACGAGGTGCGCTGGCGTTTCTTTCGAGTCGGCCCGGTTCTGTGCAGTATTTCGCTGACGTTCCTCGTCGTTGCCGACCCGTGCGACCCTCCCTCTTGCGCCCAAACCCTTCTTTCTTCCCCTCCCCGACAGCTCAACAACACCATCTCGTCCTGCGGCGTCTCGCCCATTATCCGCATCCCCTATGCCGAAGGCTGGCTAATGAAGCGCGCGCGCGCTCGACTCGGGCGCCCAAGGCTTGATGGTCCCAATGATCCACACCGCCGTTCGTTCCCATCCCTATCCTCCCAATCTCATCCCGCCACTCTGACGCTTCCTGGTCACTCAGGAATCCGCCCGTTCCGTCGTCTCCCTCTCCAAGTTTGCGCCTCAAGGGATCCGCGGCTGTGGCAGCCCATTCACACACCACGCGTTCGGCGTCGATGCAGCCGAGTACGAGGCAAAGTGCAACGACGCCCTCCTGACGATCTTGCAGATCGAGTCGAGGGAGGGGTTGGAGAACATTGAGGAGATTGCCGCCGTGCCGGGAGTGGGTGCGTCCCAATCCTCCTCCCTTCCTCTCCCTTTCTGCTCCTTCTGATGGAGTAACTCCGCTTTCGCTTCGTTCGAAACAGACGTCATCTTCATCGGCCCCTTCGACCTCGCCAAGTCAATGGACGTCAAGTTCGGCGGCGACGAGCACCAAAAAGCGATTTCGACCATTCTCAAGTCTACGAAAGCGGCGAAGAAGCACGCTGCCATCTTCGTGCGTTCACCTCCGATGTCTGTGGACGAGTGGCTGACGAGAGATGTGACAGTGCGCGACGGGCGACCAGGCACGAGAGCGTCTCGAGCAAGGCTTCGATATGGTCTCGGTGTCGACTGACACACACTCGCTCGTGCGGGACGTGTCGCTGCAGCTGGAGGCGCTGAAGAAGTAGAGCGAGACGAAGAGGTGGGTAGCGAAGCTGTAGACAGAGTAAGGAAAGGGAATTGTTGCTCGCCTTCCTTCGGCGCCTCTCGCACGTTGTGAATCGCTGCGGTCGAGAGAGGCACGATGCACGTTACACGAAAAGCGAACGACAACAAAGCACAGAAAGCGAGTGACAACAACGAACAGAACCTCCGACACCGACAACCCTCTACAAGCACTCCATTCCTCTCTCCTCGTTAGGCGTCCATGATCCCGCCGACGGTGATCTTGTACGTCGCTTCGCCTTCGGGCCTGTAAGGAATCCTCCGCACTGCATCAGCACGTCTCGCACTGAAGAGTGAAGCGTGGTGCGGAAGGCTGAGGCGGAACTTACATGTCGGGCGAGTCGGCGAGCTGCAATCGCGAGCGAGCAATTGGGAGAGTCAGGTTTCGTCTGAGAGCGAGTGTGAAAGAGGAAGAACTGACCTTGGCGACGCGCTCTTCGCCGCGACCCTTGCGAAGGTAGACCCTCGTCGCGGAGGCGTGGGCCTGGGGGGAGCATTGCGGTATCAGTCTTGTCCGCAGCGACGTCGGAAGAGGAGGAGGAACGCACCATGACGTGACCTGCAACGGCGGCATAAACGACGAGGTCGTCAGTCTCCCACCTCGAGAAGGCAGACGACCGTCAGAATTGCCGCCACGCACCACCAACAGGCTTCTTGTCTCCACCTGCAAACATCGCGCTCGCATCCGGACTCGACTGGACCTGGTTCGTGAGGAAGCTGTTGTCCCTTTCGCTCGTCAGTCGCGCCAGAAGAGAGAGGAAAGAGGGGAACGGACATGGCGCATTGGAATTCTTCGCTGATGCGCGTGAGGCGTGAGAGCATCTGGTTGAGCCTGTGAGGGCGGTGTCGAGTGCCATCAGCGACAACTCGAACGAAAGACGAACGGAAGCCGAAGCGAAATGGCGCGAGACTCACTTCTGCTGCCTGTCGCTCAACTCGCCCCTGCCAGCATAGTCGACCCTGAAGAGTGCGAGGATCGAGTCGACAATCTGCGGTGCGCTCATCCTGGTCAGTCGCGATGAGCAGGAAGATGAGAAGGTCAGGCGACGCACGAGCAGACGGTAGGCGCCTTGCTCTTCAGCGAACTTCGCGGCGAGAGCGGTGATGAGCTCCATCTCTGCGGGCGGGATGTCCAGCGTGGTCAGTCAAGCGAGAGAGTCGAAGCAGGGAAGGCGAGACTCACGGTGCTCCGAGTTGTGCGCCCTCGCGACTGCCATCGCCACATCCGATTTAGCTTCTTTACTCTCGCACGAGCGTACCGAGATAGCGAGAATGCGCCAGACGCACCGACGACGTTCTCGAGCGCAGCCTGCGGGTCAACGCCGAAGCGCTCGGCGATGGACTTGACCCTGTCAGGACGGAACGTGCCTTCGGTGTCGATGAAGGCGACTGCGAGCGCAGCGAGGGGATCAGCGCCGAGGGAGTGAGGGGAAGAGGGAAACAGAAAGGGGAGGAACGAACCCTTGCCTTCGCCGCCTCCCATGTCGACGGGGAGCTGGCTCGTCTATTCTCGCTCGCCCCGGCGTCAGCCACATGTCTCTGGGGAGAGTAAGAAGCGGAACGCACGACGCAAAGCGTGTGACTGAGCTGGGTCTTGCCAGTCCTGAACTCGCCGTACACTGTGCGCCTTCCGATCAGCTCGTTGTCTCCCCCAAGTGACTCGCTCGAACGCACCTTCAGTGATGCTCCCCGTCTGCACTCCCCCTCCGAGCAACGCATCGAGCGAGGCCGAGCCAGTGGAGATGAAGATGACTTTCTCGCGGCGGAGGGCGCACTCGGCGCCGGTGAGAAAGGTTTGCGGGCAGAGGGTGTTCGCCGCGTTCTTGATCTTGTCGACCTAACGACGAAGGACGAGCGAGATCAGCTCCGACGGGCCCAGGAGACGGCGAGGACGACAAACCTTGATCTCGCTCAGACCCTGCACATCAACACAAACCTCATCAGCCGCTCCCTCCCCAGTCACATCAGACCTCGCGACCCACCTTGACCTTGGTCAGACACTTCCTCGTAGCCTGCACGACGCCCAACACCGTCGCATACCCAGCCGTGCGGAGTTTGGCGATATCCTGCGCCGAGATTCCTTGCTGCTGGAGGGCGTCGACGTCGAGGATGGACGACTCCTGTTCCTTGGGACGTCGCGAGATCGTCAATGTGAGTCGCGTGGCGGTTGAGCGAGGGGGAGAGGAGAGCGAAGGCGAGCGAGGTCAGCGAGGAGAGGGGGCGATGTAGCTCGACTGCTAGACGAGCTAGGAGCGTGGGACGCACGTCGGTAGACATCTTGGAGTGTGTAGAGTAGGATGCGAGTGCGCGCGAGGCGGTTCGAGCGAGTTTGTCGAGTCGAGTGAGAGGAAGGAACGAGAGAGGCGAGCGTGTGAGAGTAGGTCAGGTCGACTCGAGCGCGAGCGGGGCCAAGGGCGGAGACGGGACAAAAGAAGCGTTCGAGTACGACGAGGAACGTGCCAAGGCCAGCAGAGGACGGCAAGAAGGCGAACGAGGCGAGCAAGGAGCGGACGAGGAAGACCTTCCCAACTCACCTCGCCAAACAACGCCCAAACAGCCATCGAACATCCTCATACCGTGTTACTGTCCCGAATACGTCTATACACACGCCCTCTGCGAGACCCGCCGTACCTCGCGCGCCTCACAGACCCTCGAGCGCCTCCTTTGTGCCCCAGACGCTCTTGCCCTCGTCCACTTGCTTCTTGAAGTCGTCGATGACTGACTTGGGGTCTGACGCGCCGAAGAGAGCGGTGCCGGCGACGATGACATTCGAGCCTGGTGGGAGAGACCAAGTCAAGGGTCAACTCAAGCATCTCCTCGCCCACCGACAGCAAACGGTTCGACGAGAGGAACGCGCAACTCACCAGCCCTAGCGCAGCACCCGATCGTCCCCGGCCCAACCCCTCCATCGACCTGAATGTCCTTCTCGGGGAACCTCTCCCTCAACTCGCTAACCTTGGGCACGCACTCCCTCATGAACTTTTGCCCGCCGGCACCGGGAACGACAGTCATGACGAGGAGCATGTCGACTTTCTGGCCCAGCGAGGTGGAGATGGCGCTGGAGGGAGTGTGGGGGGAGATGGCGACTGCCGCACGCATGCCGTGCGAGTGAATCAGGTCGACCAGCTCGGGTGCTTTGGCTGCGAGCGTACGGCGTGCGACGTCAGCAAGCGAGTCTCGTGAGAAGGAGAGGAGACTGGCACGCACAAGGATCCGCGAGCGCCTCGATGTGAAAGGTGTAGCTCTTTCCGCCCGCCTCGGCAACCGGCTTGACCCACTGTACGCGCGACGACATGGCGCATCAGTCTCGTCTCGCACTCGCAGACGGGAGCCGAACCGCCTTTGCGAGCGAAACGCACCTTCTCCGGATCGCTGACCATCATGTGGCAGTCCATGAAGACGTCCTTGACGTCCTTGTTGACGCTCGCGAGCACCGGTGCACCCATCGTGATGTTGGGCACGAAATGACCGTCCATCACGTCTGTCCCGCCATGACCAAGTATCAGCGACCGGGTCGAGTTGAGGGACGACGTCAAGAACCGCGACAATCGCACGAGCGGGCGAGGCGAACGCACCCATGTGTACCCACTCTGCTCCACACTTCATCATGCGGCGGATCTCGTCGCCGAGCTGGGCAAAGTTGCTTGCGAGGACCGAGGGGGAGACGATGGCGCGCGGAGACGAGGGAGACATGGTTTGCGGTGGTTCGAGTGCGGTGGAAGGGGTAAGAGAGTGCGTCTGAGCTGTCTAGAGTGTGTACGGGCCGAGCCTGTGAGCGCGAGAGCCGGTTGGAGCGAGTCGTCCTCGTCGAACCCTCTCCTCATCAGCTCTCGCATCGACCACCGCACACAATGGCACGTGCAGGCGTTCTTGCACCGTAGAACCGCACTGACACTCTCCCTCACACAGTCCGCACCCGACGCAGGTCCGTCCCAGCCCTCCTCGCCCTCTCAACGCGTCCCGCTCGCGCCTCACCCAACACGCACCCCCTCGCCCGCCTCGCATCCGCCTTACTGACGCTCCTGTGCCGCGCGAGCAGAAGCCAAAGAAGCCTTCGCCTTGTTCGACAAGCGCGGAGCAGGAACGATCCCCGCCTCGAGTCTCGGAGACATCCTCCGCGCTCTGGGACAGAACCCGACGCAGAAGGAGGTGGCGGACCTCGCGCAGAGTGTTGGCGGTGGAGAGAGTGAGTGCGAGGGCTCTCCAGTTGTGGCGGGAGGGAAGAGCTGACTTTTCGTCGGGCGGTGGCCAGTCGACTACTCGACTTTCGTCAACATCCTCAACCGACCGGGCGGATTTGACCCTGCAGGGACGGCAGGTGCGTCGACGAGGCTCGTTGCAGGAAGCTGCGATAGCTGTGTGCTGACTACTCGCCCTTCTACGACTTCGCCTCGTCTTCCTCCCTCAAACCGCCCATCCTCCCATCTTCTTCTCCCCTTTCTGCGGCCCTTCGTCTTCCACGATCATTCGCACGACACCTCACATCCCTCACGTCATCCCCTCCAACCCTGCCCTCGCCTCTCGCACCTCAGACGAATTCATCCGTGGCTTTCAAGTGTTCGACAAAGACAACAACGGCTACATCGGCCAAGGCGAGCTGCGATACGTCCTTACCTCGTTGGGCGAGAAGTTGAGTGATGAGGAGGTCGACGAGTTGCTCAAGGGGGTCAAGGTGACGCCGTAAGTTGCGAGGTTCTTGACTTTGAGCGGAGGTGGCGGCGGTTCGAGCGCACAGAAGTGCCCGAGAAGGCTGCTTGTACTTGCAGCGCCAGCTGGAAGCTGTACTGACGCGGCTCGGTTGTCGCCCGCAGCGAAGGCAACATCAACTACGTCTCGTTCGTCCACCAGATCCTCGGACAGGTGCGTCACCGGCCGCCATGCTTCAACTCGTCACGGGCGAGACTGATCGAGACTTCTGATGGCCTTGCAGTAATCGCCGCGCTCTCCCGTTCGCCGCATTCGACTTTCTCCCGCCTCCTACCTCTCCCTTCGTTCCTCCTTGCTCCTCTACACGCCCTCCACGGACCCTTACCTTCTCCCGACCTCTCGACACTATCGTTTTCTTCGTTCTTTCCAGTACTTCAGCTTTGGTCCATTCGTTCGCAAACAAGTTCAGTTCGCACGAAACTCTCGGGACGGGACTGCCACTCGCCTCGCTTTGAGCAGCGAGCGACTTCCTCGTCACGCTCGTTTGACGTGCTCATGCGTGTTGGTAGAGTGAGGTGCAGGGCCTACGATCCTGACGGACCCATCTTTGGCCCTCGCCCTCCATCTGTCCCAGTCGCTCCTCCGATTTCTCTATCCCTTCCGCCTGCGTTTGCCTCATTCGGTGAATCGGTACGGAGCGTCCACGCAACGGCACGTCGATTCTTCCACCCTTCACCAGCAGCTCGTTGCCCTCGGCGCGCTTCTCCGCAATTTGGACTTCGCGCGCGACATCCAGCGCATGTGGACGAGGGCAGCCGGAAGAGCATGAGAGGGTTGTGAGTAGGCAAGCAGTACGAGTGAAGGCGAAGGGCGATGCTGGCGAGCGAAACGGTAAAACTGCATCGTGCCTCAAGGGTCGCGGGACGATGCAATTCCGCACGTGCTGGGAATGGAGAGTGAGCGTCTCCATCCCCTGTTTTGCAGCAAGCAGGCAAGCGTTCCGCTGCCGAGACAGAAGGAAGCGAGAGCAGATCCAATCTCGACTTGAGTGGTTCGTACGGCGTGCGCTGAGGTGAGGAAGCAAGAGCGAGAGAGGCCGGTGACGGCGAAGCGGACGAGGCGAGGCGCTGAAAGCGACTGTTGCGCTTTGGTGAGATCAGAGCGGCAGGTCCAGCAAGTTGGCTGATCATGCGAGGCGAGTCTGCGTGAGGAAGGCTGGAAGAAAGGAATCACAGCCGCGAACTGCGCGAGAACGACAGGTCAGCTCATCTTCCCACCATCCCTTTCCGCCTGCAGCCGTGCCAACTACTTTTTCCTGTTGCGCATACGTCCTCTGCATCCATCGACATCTTCCTGAGAGCGCGACAGCCGTGCGCAATCTGAGCGGCCGAAGGAAAGACGGGATGGAGGGCGAGAATCGACGATACGTGACGAGCGGAGCGCGGCGGTGTACGAGAGGTGAGATACATGAGATCTGCGAGCTGGCAAGCGTCAGCGCCTGGTACACAACGCGATTGGGGTCCTCCTCCTCCTCATCGACCGAGCGGAAACCATCGATGGACCCCCTCGCGAGACCGGTGCGAGACCGCTATCGCTCCAGAGACTCTTACAGGACCCGTGAGCGACCCACAGAGCTACCGCATGCCGAGGTCACAAAGCCTGTCCCGGTGAACCGCAAACTCACTGATGAAGATCTCACGACGCTGTCTCGCCCAGTGCTGCCTTCGTGGAGGTTGCGGGCGGTACGTGAGCGCGTAAGAGCCAGCATAAAGCCCTAGCGTCGGACCCAGGCGCGGCGCGGAGCGGAGGAGTGGATGGTAGCGGCGAGAGAGCGCACTCACAGGTCGCTCACAAGTCGACGACCTCTCGGCTCACTTGGATTTTCGCAGATTCAGCTATGGCTCATCCGAGAGTGTCAAACGAGGCGTTACTCGCTTTGTAGGGGCCTAGAGAACGACTCGAGCGGTGTCCTCCGCCGAGGTTTGTCCGCTCAACTCCAAAACTGGCGACCTCCCGCGCTCCCTTTACTCCCAGCCCCAACCCAGCAACTCTCTGCCGCTCCATAATGGCCAGGTCGTCGCAGCTTGTCGGGCCGAATCGCCTCCCTCCGCCTCACTCCCTCATTCCGCCCAGACCTCGTTGCCGCCGCCAACATTCTACGCCTGAGCTGCATTTCGTCTTGCCGCACGTTCCACCGTCCGTACCTGCGAGTAGCGATAACTCAGGATCGACCAAGCCTTGAGGTTGGTAGGGAATGAGGACGAATGAGGATCGGGTGGACGAGGCAAGGCGCGAATATTTGTCGTTTCGTGTACGGCGAGAACGGCGGGCAGCCTGAGGGTAGGCGAGGTTCGAGAGATGATGCAAGGTCGGCGAAGCTGGTTGGGGAAAGACAGCGAAGAAGGTGGGGGAGGAGAAGGGGGAGATTGCTTGACCGGCGGTCTGGAGGTTGGCGAAAGTCCTGGCGGCAGTCGGGTGACGCGCCTCTGATCTAGGAAGAGTGTGAGTAGGCGGTTCAATCTAGCTCGCAGAACGAGAGAAAGGGAGAAGTCGGCAAGGACGTCGAGGAGGAAGAGGTAGCGAGTTGAGAAAGCGCAGATCCGATTTTACCGGGTGAATGCAACGTCGATGGCGACGTGAAGAGGTCAGGATGAGGGCGAGAGGCGCTTGAAGTCGTCGCACCGTCTTGAAAGATCCGCCTGTCGTCGAGCGAGGAGGGTGAGCAGCAGACCTGCTCGCTCGCAAGTGACCGTTTCGGGCGAGTTGGACCGAGGGTCGCTCCTCCAGCCATGCTGGAGGTCGTAGAAGGGCGCGGGGACCGAAAGAATGGAGGGAGGAGGCGAGGGAACAGAAACCCGAGCGGTCAGAATAGCAAGAAGGCGCGGCTGGATACGGCGCAAGGGTCCGCGAAGTCGGCGTGGACGGGTCTGAGCAAGGTGTAGTTTGCCTCAGACGAGCGAGCGCGGTCCCACAAGCGGTGGTAGGCGTGCCATCCGTCGTCGAACCGAGTCCGACTCGCCTGGGCCGCCTCGTCTTCTCGCTCGCTCTCCTTCATCCTTGTCCTACTTCCTCCGCACGATCCGCTGCCCTAGTCCACACTCGCTGCGACCGGCGCACAACCAACCGACCCGCTTCACCACCCTCCTCCGCACGCCTGTTGAAAGCGCCAGATGTTCGGAGCCGGCAGACCTGGCACGACGGGCGGACGGCAGGGAGCGGCGCAGGGTCGCGCAGAGTGAGTCGCCGTGTTCTGTTACTGTCTGAGTGCTCCTCACTCGTCTCGGCGAGCCCTCGGGTGGATGGATGATATCGCGGTGAGGACTGGCTGGGGCGTGGCGGGTGCGGGTGCGGGTGGGCGTGAGGCGGGCTGTGACTGGGTCTGGTACGGTTCCGAGCGAATCAGAGGTTGTAGGATGGTCGAAGTCAGCGCTTGACGGCGAGCGGAATCAAAGGCTCGTGCGGGCGCGAGGAGGCGGGTTCCGTCGGAGTCTCCGTCCCAGAGCTGACTAGCGTCCGCTTCTTCCTCTGTCGTCTCGCTACTTGCACGCACGCTTCGCAGAACCGACGAAAACGCGCCCCTCGATCCCGCTCCCTCCTCCCCAGCCGCCCCTCCCAAACTCGACCTGCTCTCCCTTCGCCCCGAGATCCGCATCCCGGCCCATCCCCGCGTTCTGTCGTCGCTGCGGCAGGCGCCGTCGCTCCAGGACCGTCGCGTCGTTTGGACCGAATTCCACCAGATCGAGCTTCCCTCCCACACCGACTTCGCGTTCGAGGACGACGGGGAGCAGCCGATGATCGCCCTCTCGTCGGCTACCTCGTTCATGGAGCAACTTTTGCTCATGCTCGATCAGCGCGATGAGGAGAGGGAGAAAGTCTGGAAGGAGAAACTCGACGCGCGCGACAAGGCGAGGGATCAAGACTGGCAGAAGAAACTCAACGAGGCTGTCGGTGCGGAGCAGGCGCGAGCGGAACGGGCAGAAGCTCAACTTGCACCTCTGCTGCGTGAGGCGGGGCGCACCTATTTGCTGGACCAGTACGAGAACTTGAAGGAGTTTCTGCGGGGTAAGTTCCGCTCCGTTCTCCCCTCCGCCCACTTTGCTGGCTGCTGATAGCTTGACACCTCGCAGCGTACTTTCTCGACGTCCGCCAGATCCTGACCATACACCAACAACCCTACTACGGGCCAAGTGCGTCTCCTCAATCTTCCTCGCTTCTTCTACCCAAACTCGGGATCGGAGGAAGAACTCCTGGCTGACGATATGCCTTTCCACAGACAACCACCTCCTCGAGCACCTTCGTCACTCCTACTCCCCCCAACAACGCCTCACCCTGGGTCTCTACCCCGAGCAGCTCGCCCTGGCATCCCTCGCCACGGTGGTGGTCTACAACGTCGCAGGCGACCTTCGCCACCCCGAGGCCCATGGCTCTCCCTCCCATGAGTCCTTCATCCGCCACACCATGCCCCTCGTTGGCGAACCCTGGGCAAGGGTCATCCTTTCGCGCCTTATTCGTTTCGAGGTCTTTATCGACGTCTGGGATGAGAACGGCATCCGCCAGACCCGCCAGGCCTTCTCTGGCGCCAACCTCCTTCCTTCACCAACCCCAGTCTCTGACATTGACCGCGCCACGTCGAGCTTCTACTCCCACTTCCTCGCCTTCTGGCAGTCGAACTCGTTTGCATTCGACGAGCTCTCCGAGTGGACAAGGCGCTATTTTCTCTTCTTCTTGCAGTGGTGCGTACATTGATGCCTCTTTGTGAGTCCTAACGTCCTACTAATCTATCGGCCTCGCAGATACCCCATCGCGCCTCTCCGTCTCCACCTCTGCACCATTAGTCGACATCCTTTACCTATACTTTCTCTTCTGTCCCTTCACTGTGCGCACCCGGCTTTCCTCTAGCTCCTTTCGCTTCTCTCACTGACCTCGCATACTGAATTGCAGTTTCTCGT